GAGTATTTGAACAGCATGGTGTTTTGATTGGAGTTTTTCCCAAGATTATTTTCGGTTTATTTTCTTTTTAAGTAGAACTTAGAGTAAAGTGAATGAATAAATCTTAAGTGTCCACGTGCATACAACTGTGAAACCACCCAGATCAAGATTTAGAACTTGTCTAACTGTCCAGAAGGCTCGTTCTTTACCCCTCCCAGTCAGTAACCCCCACAGGTGGCCAGTGTTCTGAGCTCTGTCTTCATGCATTCATTTTATGGTTCATAACTTCGTGTGAGTGGGCATACAGGACATGTCCTTGTGTCTGGTGCCTTTTCTCAGTGCTCTGTGAGAGCCATAGATGTGTTTTCCTCACTGCGTGGCTATTAATTTATTTTCATAAAATCAGTAAATAGGGAGAAATAGTGCTGTGAAGTCATGAACTGTCTGTATTCACTTCTGAAGTAACTCTGCTTCTCCATTTAAACATGGCTGCGGGGCGCCTGGCTGGCTCAGTTGGTAGGGCGTGCAACTCTTGATCTCGGGGTTTGTAAGTTCAAGTCCCACGTTGGGTGTCGAGATTACTTAAAAGTAAAATCTTAAAAAAAAAAAAAAAACACCTTGTAAAAAATAAATAAACGTGGCTGATAGGTTCAGGTCTGTCATGATTTGGGCTTCCATATATTAAGAAAAATTCAAGGTAAGCCTTTACTGTGCTGTCCAGTGGTACAGCCGCTACCAATGTGTGGCTATGTACATTACAGTTTAAATTAATTACAGTAACATTTAAAATTTTGTTTTTTAGTTCCACTGGCCACACTTCAAATGCTCAAATAGCCACATGTAGCTGGTAGCCACCCTACCAAATGGAGCAGATCTAGAACATTTCCATTCTTGTAGAAAGTTCTGTCGGACAGTGCTGTTTAGAAAGCTGGCTGTTGGCTGACTTCCTCTTTCCTTTCCTCTTTTCCAGACATAGGATGTTGTAGTGGGTTTTATTTATTTTTTTCATTGTAAGTTGTCATTTACTTCTGTGGTTCTCAGGCCATCATCTTACAAGCTTCTGTTTCCTACATTGTCCCTCTAGACCTTGGGGAAAAGGTAAGTGGGAGAATTCTCACAACATGCTATACTTTTAATTTCTACAAACTACCGTGGGCTCTCCTACTTCAGGGCCTTGGCGATACTGCTTGGAACCCTTCCCAGCAACCCGCTCACTGTGTGTTGATTTCTCATCTATCAGATTTCAGCTTAGACTGTCTCCAGGGGACTTTCCCCATCCCTCCTCCCAGCCCCCAAGCCTAGGTTACGGCCCCCTTGATTCAGCTGCTACAGTAACATGGCCTTTCCCTGCCTGGTAGCAGTTGCTTGTTTCCTGACTTCTGTCTCCCACCAAACAGCGAGCCCGGTAAGGTCAGGGACCAGTGTGTCACGTTCCCTGTTGTATATCCATTTCTTGGTCGAGTGCCTGGCACTCAGGAGAGGTTAGTAAATATCGTGGAAGGAGGGAACAATGGGCTGCACAAGAAAGGGCCAATAACCAAATAGCTTAATGTTAGGGTTCTTCTCTCCTAGGTAGAGTCAGTTCCAGGTGGGAGTTTATCAGAGACAGCTTTCTGTCTGGGCACCTTACAGAACACTGGGCTGTTTCGTCAGGAGTGATGATGACACAGCCAAGGCATTTGCGCCCTTTCTGGTTAAAGTTTTTGGTTTGCCTTTCACCGGAAATAATTCTAAGAGATATCCAAACTGAGATGATGATGGGTGAACAATCAAAGGGAAAGGCAGATGGGGAAGTGGAGTTGAAAAGTGGTCATAATACGGTAGAAAATTCTGCATCTGTCAGCAGGCAGCTGTTCACGGCATCACAGGCGACGTCTCACCAAGCCAGATGACCTCACAGGGAGCCGCGTCAAGGAAGGGTATCCTGTCAGGATAGGTATCAGAAACCCCAACTCAAACTTGCTTTAAAAAGAAAGAGATTTATTTCTCCAAGTAGCAGGAAGTCTTGAGATGGGCTCAGAGTTGGTCGTTTCGGTGTGCCAGCAATGTCCGTGAGAACCCAGTTCTTTCCAGCTCGGCGTGGCCACCCTGGGCATGGGCTTTGTCCTGAGGCTGGAAGGGAAATGGGGGCTGCAGGTACAGGCCTCCCATCTGGGCCTCAGAGACTAGAGAAAGAAGGGAAAGCCATCGGCAAGGGAAGGGGTTGCCAGAATGTGTCAGAGGAAGCATCTGGAGTAACTGCAGTAGCTACAGAGTATCCACTGGAAACGCCGAGACGTTGCAGCCCCAAACATCCTCTTCCCCCATCCCAGCCTATGCATTTTAGAAGTTCTTTCAGTCTGCACCAGTACAGAAAGTAGTGAATGAAAACCCTTTACTCTGTTAGCAAATACCACTTAATGCCTTAGAAGTCACCTAATGGGGACACACCCAGACCAGGGAAGATTCCCAGAATGCAGAAAGAGAGCAGAGGAGGTAAGTCAGGGGGCTCAGGGAAGACCAGTTCTGAAACTTGGGAGCCCTGCCAGAGTGAGCCTGGGTGTGGCAGTCAGAAACCCCCTCCTGGCCCTTAAGGGTTAATCGCCCGCCCACCCGCCGCTTGAAGAAACACTGGCTTAATTTTAAATTCAGCAATATCCATACATTTATGATTTACAATGTAAATGGTATATATTCTGGGAAATCTGGAATCCTTCAACCGATCGGTTATGCTTTAATTTTTTTTCTCCTTCTTCTATAGACCTCGCAGTGTTGGAGCTGTGCTGAATGAGGTCACAGTCTAACTACAGTATTAACCCTGCAAATCTGTTCATTTTCGCCTGAGCACCCTCAGGCAGGATACAGAATGTGTCCAATTGAAAGACTATTACAGGCGCTGCAGTCCATGATGGGATGAATTGTAACAGGGTGGAAGGTACTGGGGGGGGGGGGGGGTGTCTTTAGCCAGGTAGGAAGTATCTCTCAAAAGCAGAGGTTGTGTGATTGCATTTTGAAAGGAAAAATCTTGTTCTCTCTCACTCAAATTTTAAAACGCAACTTTTAATATTCTCAGATCTTAACTGTTTTATATTTTCTACCAACCGTGTCTGTCTTTGTATTTCCCCCCATCCGATACCTCTTCAGTTTCTCTTCTCTGTGTGCTACAAACATCCTTTTGTGTTTTTTTAATAACTTTTGCATTATTAAAAATATAGAGGAACATCTAAAGAATAATAGAGTGAACACCCGTGAACCGACCACCCCATTTAAGAAATAAAACACTAGCTCTTTTCCTAGGACTGTTTCTGGGCCCTGTTTAATTCAGCATGGAGAAAAGCACAACACAGATGGTCAGCGTTTTGTGTAAAGGCTCAATCGCCACGCATTCATGGTAGCTGCAGAGTTTCAGAAAGTATGTGCATTCGCTGTCTTGCCTAGACATGTGGTTAATGCTAAGTAGTCTAACAGTTGTGCCCCAGGTAGCTCCTAAAGCTGTTTCAGATCATAAAATCTATGATGTTTTGCAAATTTATATTTTATCATGCTGGGTTTTATGCGCAAAAACTAGATGACTTCCCCTCTATAATCTCCATCAAAGGCATTTTTCAAAATCCCTTTATTATGCCTTGTCACTGGCTTTGCCACGCATTGTTTGCATGTTTGAAAACAATCTCTGGCTAAATTATAAATCTGAGAGTATTGTTGTGGCGTTAGCCTTGCAGAACTGAGGGATAAATGCTATTTTAACTTATTCCTCAGTTGTAGACTCTAAATATTTGACCCCTTCATTGAGTGCCAGAGACGTGACTTGACTTGTCTGTGGTTTGGGCCCTATCACTAAGAGAGTGAGAGACCATGTTTGGATAGTGCTTGAAATATTTATATTGTATCAATGGAAAGGATGTAATATTTTATTTCCTCAAGTGTACAGTTCCTTCAACATGTTCTCGCTGCCCCCGTGTGATGTTGTCCTCCATCTGCTCTGTTTGCTCACATTGTGCCTTTAAAAAAAAGTTTTTTTTAATGTTTATTTATTTTTGAGAGAAAGGGAGAGACAGCGTCGAGTGGGGGAGGGGCAGAGAGAGAGGGAGACACAGAATCCCAAGAGGCTCCAGGCTCTGAGCTGCCAGCACAGAGCCCGATGGCGGAGCTGGAACTCGTGAACTGCAAGATCATGACCTGAGCCGAAGTCAGAGGCTTAACCGACCGAGCCACCCGGGCGCCCCTGCTCACATTGTACCTTTGCCTGTGGGGCTTCTCCATTGACACCTGCCCCATTTCTACCTTGGGAGCTTGATCACTTCAAGAAGTCTGGCATAGAGAAGAGCAACTTGCTCATGCTCACAAGCACATACTTACCACTGAAGGGTACAGTCTTTTCCAAGTGTCCCCAGACCTTTAGTCTTGTACAGAGTGAAGCAGGGAACAAATGGGTAGAGTGTGTGTTGATTTTTTTTTTTTTTTTAATCTCTTGACTGATGAACTTGGGGTGCCTGTTTACAAAGTTGCTTGGAGAATGTGTGCTGAAGGCCAGGTTAGTCATACCCTCATTTTCCTGATTTAAAAAAATAGAAATCGAGCATAGTTGCAGAACACAAGTGCTGAAAGATCTGTATTTATCCCAACTGCATAGCAATAGGGAAGTTTCCAAAGAGAAGGATAAAGCCTATGTATTTTATTTAGATATGGGTTGTTTTAAGTGTTGATTGTCTTTTCATTTGGAATGAGGGTAACTCTCCATGTGCCATTTAGCAGTTGTTAAATGTGAGAATTCATTAGTAAAATAGGCCATCATAGAGCTCAGGATGATTGGAAGTGAACATTAGTTCGGCTCCTTGATTCGGAGCTTGGGAAGTTTTCCTTTTCTTTGTTGCAGATTCTGTGTTTCTAATATTCATTACAACAAGAGTGAGAGCCTGCTGATTTTTCAAGATTTTATTACCGAAAGAATATCAACACTAGTCTCTGGCTTATTCTTTATGATGCGTGTGTTTCCTTTCTCTCTACCGAAAACGTGTCTAAACTTGCTTATCTCTCTGTAGGACAGTCGGCCCAATATGTCAAGACCTCTGATCACTAGATCTCCTGCATCTCCACTGAACAACCAAGGCATTCCTACTCCAGCACAGCTCACAAAATCCAATGCGCCCGTCCACATTGATGTGGGCGGCCACATGTACACCAGCAGCCTGGCCACCCTCACCAAATACCCCGAATCAAGGTAATCCGAAAAATGGAAAAGTCACACTCGGAAGTGCATGTATTTGATGATCTAACTGTTTTTCCTTTGACCAGCACAGCAGCGTGGACTTACTGGGGCCGGGGCTAGAGCACGAGGGTGCCGTGTGGGCCCCCCGGCTACCCACGCTGCTCTTGGACGTGGCTGTCAGTCTTGTCCGAGTCAGGGCTCGACCCACAGCTTAATCAGGTCCACGTAGACATGTCACATAGGAATGGAGTTCTAGGATATTTTGCCCTGCAGAGATCTTCAGGTTTCTCAATGTAGTACAAAAGGAAGGATGATTTCTATTGCTACTGGCTTTTCTTCTGTCCTTTTCTAAAACACTTTCTGATCAGTTCTTAAGAATTTTCTAGGAGGTCATTTGGTGCGCCAACTTGTGAGCTAGAGAAAAAAAAGAGAGGCTCTTATCAATGGGGCAGTATATTTACAACACAATGCAAAAGTCCAGGAAGCCAAGATAGTCTTGTTTAAAAAAAAAAAAAAAAAAAAAAAAGGCCAGTGGGACTTCCGAGGGATCAAGGCAGATAAATAAATATAGAAAGTGTCTGAAGAGGGAGCATGGTTTACAAACAGGCACTATACAGTTCTGCTTTTTTTAGTCTTTCTCTGTTACCTGATATTTTATGAAAGGTTGAGAGGAAAGATAAAATTTTCTCTCTCAGTTTCCAGATTGAATTTCTGCAGCCAAAGTGAAATGATTTTTTTAAAAAACAGATGACCACAGGGGCACCTGGGTGGCTCAGTCGGTTAAGCGTCCAACTTCAGCTCAGTCTCACAGTCTGTGAGTTCGAGCCCTGCGTCAGGCTCTGTACTGACAGCTCAGAGCCTGGAGCCTGTTTCAGGTTCTGTGTCTCCCTCTCTCTCTGCCCCTACTCTGCTCATGCTCTGTCTCTCTCTGTCTCAAAAATAAATAAAAAACATTAAAAAAAAAATTAAAAAAAACAGATGACCATTAATTCAATGACCAAAAAGCTTTATATTTTTAAATGAAATGATTATATCATTCAGTTATTAGTATTATTGAGTCCCCACTTTCCCTAAGTTCATTGTGACAGGTGCTACAAGATCATGCTACATTATGGCTATATTTTTAAAGAATATCATACAAGGAAGTAAGGTTTCTTTTTTAAAAAAATACTTCCATTCCTTCTAATCTAATACCAACATCAAAGAAAGAAAATCACCACGCCTCTTCAGATGAACACTTAATTCTAGGGGGCAAGCCACAAAACGTACACGAGCCAAAAAGCAAATCCTTAGCTGTAGCAAAATTCACTGATCTGATCTGGTGGCCTTTTGTTTCATTCAGTCCAATTTTTAAACTCTGATCCAGGAGGGAAGTTATGTCATGTGCACACGACATAAGTAGCAGGTTTTCTTCGAAGGCTCATTGCAGCTGGGGGGTCTCTTCCTACTGACTAAAGCCGCACGGGGGTTTGGCATCCGTGTAGCTCCCCCGTATCACTTAGCCTGTTGCAAGGGTAGACGGTAGAAATGTGTTGGAGGCGCTGTTTATTCAGTTCCTCTCTCCAGTGATTTGCCACTTTAGAGCCCTCGAATAGGTGTCTTACTTGGAGAGTCTTCCTCTGGCCCCTCTGCGTGGGCATTTCTAACAGTCTACTTTCAGTCCCTCGTTGTCCACACCCTGAGACAGGCATCGCATTCCACGATCTCAGTACTCCGGATACACCATCTCATATGGCAGCCACTAGCCACATGCAGACTTTGAGCACTTGAAATGTCGCTGGTCCAAATCAGAATGTCCTCTAAGTGTAAAATTGCACTGGACTGTAAAGAATTAGTGCCTACCAAAAAAAGTAAAATATCGCAGGCAGACAGTCTCTCCTTTGCTGCCCTGCCCACTGTTCCCTTGCTGTGTATTCAACAAACTTCTGTCTCTTTAAAAAAAAAAAAAAAAAAAGCAACTCAGTAGTTTTTTATTATTGATTTCATGTTGGAATGAGAATATACTGAATTAAATATGTCATTAAAATTAATTTCACCCGTTTCCTTTTACTCTTTCAATGTGGCTACTAACAAACCCAAAATTACATACATGTCTTGTGTTTTATGTCTGTTGGACAGTGCTGACCTATACACAGATTTTTAAAACTCTAAGCAAACCCACTTCTTCCCCAGCCTGATACGTACATACATGATAACTTGAATTTCTCTTTCACCAACTTCATTAGAAAAGGTGAAATTGTTCGTCTTCCTTTCCCGATCTTTCCCCACACATCCTCGCCACCACTGGGCCACAGTGTCATGGGAGAAACATCAGAAATACTTCATGGTTCATTAGTCCCCACATTTAAATGCTGATGCTGCCATTTAGTACTTGTTTGGCCATGGATAGGTCCAATTTCTAAGCGTCTGTCTTCTCACTTGTAAAATAGACACGGATAGGTCTTCTTGCAAGGTTATTGAGAGGATTAAATGTGATTACTAAAAGCACGCCGTGGCCCTGTGCCCAACACATAGTATTGCCTTTATGCTTAATCTTCTGCCAAACCCAGCAATTGTTCTTTTCAAACTGCCTTCCAAATTCCAAATATATCCCCTTCCTTCATTTCCTAGACCATGGAAACAGGCTCACTTTTGGGTTCTTGCCTGAATGACTGCAGGCTCAGGGGAGCCCTCGCCTGCACCTTCTGGTCCTTTATCTTGACGCGCCTACCTGTCCCAGAACTGCTGAGCTGTTCTAACATCATCTTGATCGTTAGGAGATATTCTTAAGCATATGTTAAGACTCGGAAACAAGCCTTATAAAGTGACTTCTCTGTTGCTTATACCTAAAGCAGATGATACTGGTTTAGATGTTGAACCGACCATTCTGCTCCCTCTTGTAGTGTGTGTGTGTGTGTGTGTGTGTGTGTGTGTGTGTGCGCGCGCGCGCGCGCATTTGGTAAATAATCCAGTGTTCATTTCAAGGCAGCAGTCAGTCTAAGGGGACCCATACATAAATTTTTGTAGTGAAAGATACAGGGAAGGAAGGGTTTCATGCTTTTCTTATACATGTCAGTTACTCCTCCCACCTTCTGGGAAAATCTCTTGCATGTCTTCACCCCTTTGGGGATAAATCCTAGGAGATTGGGTTGCCTATGACCATAGAGTTACAAATAGCTCCAACTCGAGTTCTCTAGATTCTAGGGTAGTCCGAGCCCTTCTCCCACTGTGGAACCATTCCCTGCCCCCTCGCCCGTCAGCACACCCTGGTTCCTCTCTCACTTGCCTTTTCCTTGGTGTAGCCCAGAGGAGTGGACGGCTTTTTCCTTGGTTTTATTTTCTAGGATTTCAAGAAGAGACTTGTAGTATAAAAGCCTTAATTTGTTTATAACAAGTGATCATAAAAAATGTAATGTCTTTCTACAATTTCAAAGGTTCTACACAGAGCCTTTATTCCATTTTGAAATGTTTTATATGACTTTTCATCCTGTCTCTATTTATCGCCTTCTTGGCTAAAGACCACCCTTAGAACATGGTCCCCAGAAAGTGGTACAATGGACCGCACAGCCAAACATTAGAAGCACCTGGGAAGCATTAAAAAGCCATACATGGTCCTGCCCCAGACCAATAAAATCAGAATCTCCACGAGTTTCCTAAGAGATTCTGACTTTCACCATCTGGCTTTGAACAACACCAATGTGGATGGTCCCTCCAAGTGAACATAGGCTTCTTCCTCAATGAATATTTCATGCTGTATCATAATGGCTATGAAAATAAAATACGTTTTGATCTTTATTTCTTTAATTACCAAGGTTACCTGTTCCACTGTGTGTGGGTACCCCTATGCTTTGGTGTTTTGGGTGGGGGGAGGCTTCTAAGCCCTGAGTTGGGATTCAATAAGCAAGTTGACTTTTTACATTTTACAACAGAGCTCCTCACACACATCATTATTCACATTCATTGTCAGGTGGTTTCTAGCTAAAGGGACTGAAGGTTTCAAATTAACTGGAGCAGGTGCATACATCAGTGATGTGCTGTGTTTTACCGATGTTTTGTGTAAGATGCAGAACAGCACTTTGGAGGGGTTTATGAGACCGAGGCTAATCCACACCCCCTCAGGGATCAAGGAGATAGATCCCTTGCAGAGTTGCTGACAAGTCTCCAGTTCCAGTTGCTGTTCTGAATTGTAATCACCGAGAAAAACACCTAGTTCAGATCTGCAAGAACAGTACATCAAATAAGTAAAACAACAAAAAAAGTCAAAAAATATATCACTGTCATGAAAAGATTTTAATGGATTTTATAAAGAAGATAGAACATATCTTACCTGACAGTTTGCTAGCTTGATTGATAAATTATAAGTATCTAGACATGGGAGGTGGGCCTCACCTGTACTCTTGCCCTGGGCCCTGCAGATTTTAAGGACAGACCTGATAATGTCTGATTTAAAAATCTAAGGCACCCATTATCAACATCATTGATAACAACAAAGTCTAGGTATCTAAATAATTTGTTATAAATAATTAAGGTTGGTACCAAATTACATGACATCTTTAAAATCTCCTGTATTGCCACTGAAATATCTTCATGGCTGTGTGTGTGTGTGTGTGTGTGTGTGTGTGTGTGTGTGTGATATTAAATAAACTTTCTTTGCTTTAGAAGATAGTCTGGGTGGCTTGGTTGGCATCCGACTTCGGCTCAGGTCATGATCTCACAGTTTGTGGATTCGAGCCCCGCATCAGGCTCTGTGCTGACAGTTTAGAGCCTGGAGCCTGCTTCGGATTCTGTGTCTCCCTCTCTCTCTGCCCCTCCCCTACTCGCACTCTGTCTGTTTCTCTCAACAATAAATAAAACATTGAAAAGTTTTTTTCAAAAAAAAGAAGACGCAAGTCTGAGTTCAAAGTTAGGTCCATTTCATCCTTTATTATCACCTTGCACAAAATGGAAGCTCACTATTAATAGCAGCTATATTGATGGTTGTTCACATGTGGACTTTTTAAAACTGGGAAGTGGGCTGTTATTGCTAATGAGTG